ATCAAACAACCTACTGACCAGTTATACATACAACTACCTCAAGGAATATAATACATGTCTAGGCAAGGTTTATATGAGAATGTTTGGTCTTTGCCCAAGGTTTATCTACATAGCACATGGTAACTAAAAGCACCAGACTGGTGGAACTAACCTTCTTGGATGTCTAACAGCCACACTTTGAGGCCTACACTAATTTGGTCAGAGAGACACAAAGGACAGGTTTTGTTTCTTGCCCTCCTAGGTCATAAAAGCACCAGGAGACTATGAGCATCTCTCAAAAAGTTCCTGTAACTGTGGCGTGTCACCTGTCCTCTTGATCAAGGAGGCCATGGAGACCCCACCAAATGGACATGAACCAGTGTCCAGTCTACAAAGAGGAGGGTCAACACAGAGGAAACATTTCCTCCATGCTTCCAAGTGAAGCCAGTCCCGGTTGAGAAGGACACTTGACTTATCTTCACAAAGATGGAACTGGTAAAAAAAAGGAGCCAGGGGCTCCTTCCAAGCCCATGTGACCCCTGAGGAGCAGATCCTCAAATGATCTTAAGAGTAAAAATAAATAGATTTATCAACTGTATGGTAAACACCCAAAAGGAAAGCATAACCAAAGATTAAAGGGATCAACATAATTCTTTAAGAGTCCATGTGTATAGCTAAAAGCTACATAACAAGAAACAATGCCAGAGAGGAGGCACCTTCCTTTGAGTTGTTTGCCAGGGTGCCCAAGAGACTCCCAGACAGTAACCCAGTATAGAACTGGAAAAATGAACAGCAGATCCCAATCTTATCTAAAGGAATATTGACAACTGATTGCTGCTAGATGAGGAAGAGCTGATCTTCCTAAAACAAGGAATTCTAGACAGGATGACTAGATTCAGCAGATGGACAAGCACTGGAGAATGGCCGGGGGTGCCAACAACACAGTGGGTACTAACAGGGATTACAGAGTATATGGGCTGGGGGGGGGCGGAGACTATGGGAGGGTGCCATTTGGGAAGTGGGTATATAGATGAATAAGACTGTTTGGGATGTTCTGTATGAAATATACACAGAAAACAATCAACAAATGAAAAAAAAAAAGACATATTTGAGGAAGAAGCATAAAAATTTGCTCCATGTTAATTAGTAGAGGTGGAACACATTACCATTGAAATCTACCTGGTAATTTTTATGTCCATGTTCAGGTGATCTCAGAAAGTAATGGACTGAGACTAGTAATAATCAGATTCATAGAGATTAGAGACACGTGTGCAAACATCTTAGTAGAATTAAAAATGAGTGTGCCTGAAACAGTATATTTTAGTATGAAATGGAGATCTTTTTTAAAAGTTAAAACCTCATTCAATTTTACATGTTATAGGGTTTATACTGAGTTTAATACTGTATGACTGTATTAATTCAACTGTGATCCTAAAAATTTACAGCCAATATTGAAAGAGATGCATCTTTGCGCTGGAAATTGTTATTGAATATGTTAATGCTGTAATTAAATGCTTCTTCTAATCATGTGGTTATTAAATAATTTTTTAAAAAATAAATATATTTATTATTTTTATGTGTATGAGTGTATTACCTGCATGTATGTAAGTATACCCATGTCATGCACTGCCCATGGAGGTCAGAAGAGGGTGTTGGATCCCCTGGAACTGAAATCACAGATAGTTGTTACCTGCCATGTGGGTGCTGAGAATCGAACCCAGGTCCTCTGCAAAATCAGCCCCTCAGAATGTTTTAGTAGAAAAATAGAGTTGAACAAGATGTTTTATATGGGCCTTTTCAGACTAAAATTACTGTGATTAGGGCAGGCAAGATGACCATATGGATAAAAATAGTGGGTAAAAGTGTTAGCATATAAGTCTGATGAATTAAATTTGATGCCTTCATCATTGATAGAAGGATAGAACCAACTCCTGAAATTTGGCCTCTGACCTCCTCAGCACACCATGGCATGTATGTGCTTGCCACATTTAAACACACAGCATACACATACAAACATAATAATAAAGAAGAATAAATCAACTTTTAAGTTACTGAGATTATAATCATTAGCCTAATTTTGTTGTCTTTATATCAAATTTGGCATCAGTTCCATATATTTATATTTATTTGTATATGAAATTATATAGAAAATAATGAAGATGAATTATTTTCTAGAGCTAAATTCCAGGAGAACACAACTCTATAGTCAGAACAAAAAAGGCTCTTACTCTTACTATAGTCATAATGTAACTGAACTTTCCTGCTAAAGTTTATTTGAACCTTTAGCAACATACAGCCTGAAACCGATCTCTGGTCTTATACTTGAATACAATTAGCCAATAATTGAATCTACTAAGTTTACAGAATCTCGTTGTTTATAAGTGAAATGTTAAAGGTTAATTATAGTCTGTGGTATAAATAACATTAATTCCTTGGAATGAATTTATGATAAAAATATGAAAGGGAACCTATCTCTGTAAAAATGAAAATAAACAAGCAAAATCCCTGATTTGTTTGTTGTTTCTCTCTCAGAGCACGTCTATTCATTAAAGTATTTAATTCATCCAAGGAAACATGTTTGGTAAAAAGTGTCACTGATTGTAGTGGCTATAGTGACTGTCTCTTTCTCTGTATCTGTGTGTGTCTCTCTCTGTTTCTATCTCTCTACATAGTGATCACTTTTTCCTATGATAATTAATGTGACTATAATATTATGTTCAATATGAATTTCCATTCCAAATATGAGAATAGCAGCTCTTAAAAAGAAAACTGAAAACCTCCACTCACTGAAAACTTTTGAAAGTATATTTGTTTTCATAAAGATTGCTTATTTCTTACTCTTCCTAGTTGATATTTGGCAACATACCTATTCCAGTAAAAAGTTAAAATAAAAAAACATTTGTTAGTTGATACAAAAATACAAGAGGGAATCGAGTGGCTTTCTTTTCTGTGCAACAAGTAAGGATCTGTTAATTCCAATTTTCCTCTACCTCATGCTAATTTCCAGTTCTAAATTTGTTTTTTCGTCAAAGCACAGTCTTTAACTTTGAATTCTCCTCAATATTTTGCTTGCTTTCTAGGCTAAGAAAGTCTTACAACTATGCGTTCTTCTACCTTTAAAATTATTTATACAGTGGTATTTACTCAGGATTAATTGAGAAAACAGAAACTACTCAAGGTATTTCAAAAGAAAGAGATTACCATAGAATATTGGTTACTATTATAGTTTGAATGTGAAATGTCCCCCTGCAGGCTCATGTGTCTACACACTTGCCCCCAGCTGGTGGTAGTGTTTTGGGAAGCTGGTGAAACTTCAGGAGGTAGGGCAGCCTCAGAGGAAGAAGCTCACTGGGATTCTTCCCTTGGGGTCTGTTATCTTTGGATGCTTCCTGTCCCACTCTGCTTCCTGTTGGCTACCTTGAGGTAAGCAGCCACCTGAGGCTCCTGCAGACTCTGCTGAGCTGCTGCTTTCTCCTTCCCTCATGATGGACTGAAATCTGAAACCATAAACTGAAACAAATCTTTCCTTCTTTAAGCTGCTTCTATCAGATATTTTGTTGTGATGATGCACAAGTAACTAACAGTTGTCTAGGTGATGGACAGTTCCAGAAACCAAATGCTGACACTGAAGCACAACACAGCAGAAAGTCACAACCACTCCTAGAGATGGGAGAAACGATGAAAGTGTGCTTTGGGAAACTGAATCCTGGGGCTGCCTAAGGAAGCTAAAAGCAAGGCTGAGCTACCAGGTAGAACTGGTATCAAGCATGGCCATGTGGCCAGAGCAGGGCTGGGGGGCAGGGGTGTGTGTAAAGAGACATAGCAATAATGAAAGGCTCACTGAGGTGAAGAAGGGAAATCCTGGTTTTTCTCTGAAACTCCTACACTCCAAAGTTTCAGTGCCTTTAATTGTGCAGACCTTCCCAGAATCCAGAAAACAATGCAGCCTGGAAGATGTGATTCTGTACAACACAGAACAGAGTATGAGAGAACAAACTTTCGTGCCCTTTCCTTTTATAATCATTATTTTACGCTTTCAACAATTCTCTATAGCTCACATTCTCAAAAGTACAGACCCTGGGTCAAGATGGGAACTAAGATTTCTTGACTTCCATTTTTGTAACTCTTTCATGTGCAAGAGAAGAGTAGCCTTAAAAACTTACTTTTTTACTTGTTAGTTTATATTATTTATACAAAATAATGGGTTTTGTTATGACAATTTCGTGCATGTACACATTATATTTTGACTGTCCTTCACCCTCCCTTAACCCCTCCCTCACCTCACTTTCTAGTCCTCTTTCACTACAGTTAGGCCCCCTCTGCCTTCATCTCTTTTCTTATTTAAACCAGAATCCACATAGAAAAGAAAACATGTATTTGTCTTTCTTATTTTTTCCTTATTTAAATCTTGCTTTTTTCACTTAATATGATAATCTGTAGTTCAATACAAACTGAGTCAATAAACAGCAACAAAAGACCAGGTCAAACTGTCCTTTTATAATCTTTATTTTCTCACTTTCAACAACTCTGTATCTACTATGCATACACATCATTTTGTTTTTCTTTATGGGTGAATAACTTAATTGTGTATATGTATCACATTTTCTTTACCCATTTCTCCTGAGGGTTGCCTAGACTGACTGTATAAGTTGGCTATTGTGACTAGTGCCACAGTGAAAATGGATGAGCAGTTGCCTCCATTGTATGCTGACTTAGGAACCAAGAGTGGGATGGCAGCTTCTGACTCTAGGTCTATTTTTCTTTTGGGAGCCACCTTCATACTGATTTGCATAGTGACTTAACCACTAACAGTGTACAGGGTTCTTTTTGCTCTCGTCCTTACAGCATTTATCATTTAGTTGCTTGATAGCACTTCTGAATTTTTGCCTTAAATATCTAAGACAGTTTTCAATCATGAATTTTTGGGGGACAAAGGGAAAACACGAAAATTTGGATTCAAAATGGAGTCACAGACAGTAACAATGATATTATTATATATGAATAAAAAAATCCTTTCTTACCTCTTTGCCTGGTAACAACTGCTCTGGAGGAATACTGGCTTTGTTTGCTGTAGGTTTCTCTAGGATGGCTTCTCTGTTGTATTTCTCCAATATTCCTAAGCAAAGAGAAATAATTAAATGCATAAGTATTCGTTTAGAAAGAACCAATCAAGCAAGATGAAATTAACAAATTCAGATAAATTAACTATGTGGAAAAGCTGCATACACATTAGATACAGACACTTATAAGCATACATATATGGACATGTAGAAGGTACAGTAAAGAAGAGGTACAATAATGCCAATACTACACAGGTGTATACAAGACATAGAGCTCTTTCAAACACACAACTTGATGAAAACTGTATGCCAGCTATATTTATATTTGGTATACATGCATATGTATCTCCAAAATAAAGATTGTTTTGTCCATTCACTTCATGACAACAATAAGGGAGAAGTTATGATTAGAAAACAAACATTAACTTCTTGTTAATTTCAGTGGTTAAGTTCTGTCTGGCTGGGTGGTGCAGGTTGCAATCCTAGCACCTTGAAGTCTGAAAAAGGATAGTGATTTCCAGATCAGCCTGGGCTACACAGTGAGACCCTGTATCAAAAACCAAAAGAAAAACAAAGTTACAGTCTAAGGTATCACACTTAAAAATGGGTGGGGCTGTTAACACATTTTCTTGAAAGAGAGAACAAGAATTCAGGGCTGGGGAGATGATTCAGCTGATAAAGTGCTTGCTGCATAAGCATGAGGACCTCATTTAGATGCCTAGAATCCACTTAAAATCTAGGTATATGGGGCTGGAGAGATGACTCAGTGCTTAAGAGCACTGGTTGCTCTGCCAAAGGACCTGGGTTTGGTCCCTAGTGAACACACAGCAGCTAACAACCATCTGCAACTCCAGTTCCAAGAGATCCTATGTCCTCTTCTGGCCTCTGTGGGCATTGCATGCACATGGTGCACTTACATAATACAGGAAAACACTCATACATATAAAATAAAAATAAATTAATTTAAAATTTTAAATCAGGTAAGGTGCTCCTTGCAGGGGAAGCAGACATGGGGATTCTGGGGGTTTTCTGGACAGTCAGTGTAGCTGAATTGGCAAGTACCAGATTCAGTGGTTTTGTCTCAAAATATAATGTGGTGGGCTGAGAGGCCTCAGCACATAAAAGTGCCTGCTGCCATGCCATTGATCTGAGTTCTGTTCCTGAGAGCCACATGATGGAAGGATAGAACTGACTCCAGAAAGCTTCTCTCTGGAGTTGATTCTTTCCTTCCATCCCCCATGGAGGCACATACATGCCCACACACACTAACACCCCCCGACACACACACAGATGAATAAGTATGTGTATACAGCTTATGGCTATATAACAAAAATCATAGTACCAGGCAAGGAAAACTTCCCTTTGGGTCATTGTTCAGGGTAGTCCAAGAGATTCCAAAAATAATACAGGCTATTGTCACAGTCCTTGATTACCTCCCGAAACTTGAAGGTAAGACCCCATTACTGAAGGTATAACCTACTGATACACACATGTGCATGTACATCTGCATACATGTACATACATATGAACATGTCTATACATACCTCCAAAAATAATAACAATAATAAGGAGAAAAGGACAAAACATATAGAAAACTATCAGTATATAAGGAAAGAAAATATACTCTTAGTAATCATCATCAGTGATTAATTTAAAAAATGCAAATACTGGAACAGACACTGATACACACATGTGCATGTACATCTGCATACATGTACATACATATGAACATGTCTATACATACCTCCAAAAATAATAACAATAATAAGGAGAAAAGGACAAAACATATAGAAAACTATCAGTATATAAGGAAAGAAAATATACTCTTAGTAATCATCATCAGTGATTAATTTAAAAAATGCAAATACTGGAACAGACATGAAATAATCACTAGCTTTTA